AGATTTAGATTCTCGTTTTTTTTCAGTCAAATAGAATGAAACATTGTAGTAGTATCTGTACAAAATTATTCAACATAATAAAATCAAATGTATTGTTTGGTCGATATCACTATCTTTTATTACTACGTTTCTTTATATTAATCATCATTTGTTTACTATTGCTTTATTTTTCATCTATTCATTATTATTCATTCTATTGTACGAATCGATTTCAACAAGGTTTAATTGAAGCAAATAAACGTAATTTATGGAATACAATAAATGGTGTAAGAAATCAATTTATGCCAATATTAATGCCAGTTTGTGATCGACCACATTATTTGAAAAAAGTTTTAAACGGTTTGGCTACAGTTGATGGAATAAGTGAGGTAAAAATAATTGGTGAATTTTTTGTATTAAATGAAAACTACTTACGAGAGAATTATCTCAATTGATACCCACCGTTCGAACCCATATTGGACTTACAGACATGTCTCATTGAGACTAGCAAACTTAGAATACTCGGAGAGTTTCTGCAGAAACGAATATTCTTTCGTCAAGATATTGAATTTACAAAAATAGTTCATTACCACAAGCATGTCACAAAAATTGAGTTCATTTGAAAATTCAATAACTCAACGAAGAAACATTCTTTTCAACTGAAACTTTCAGGATATTCTAGGAATCATTAGATCTATCTATAGGAAAAATTTTAGATCCAAACTCCGTTATTCGGTCTTCCGGGAAGTACCTAAAACTGAGCCAAAAATCCAGTAAATGGGTCATAACTCAGTGCCAAAGGCTAATGGAGACGGACTCTTTTGAACTTTTGCTAGTCTCACTGAAATTTGCCTGTGGATCTTATATGAGTTCAAACGGCAGGTGTCATTAGTGGCAGTAGTTTTCTCGTTAGCACATTTGAATGGTTAATTTTCAAGGATTCATTTAATCATATATGTCTCTATATTTAGACACTTGTTATAATTTCTCAAGATTGTGCATTATCATCTATTACATCTATGCTATCATCTATACCATCATATATTCGTACTCTAATTCTTCCACATACTCCTCCATATTTTTCCCTACCACGTTATGTCGATACTAATGAATATGCTACATCTGCTAATGTTAAATTTTTATTAGAATTTGCTTTTGAATATATGTTAGCTGATGGAGCAATTCTTCTTGAATCTGATTTAATACCATCTGTTGATTTTTATCGTTATCATCAATGGACATATAGAAATCTATTAAATATTAATAATTCGAAAATTCTTTCTATTCATTCTTTTAATCTTTATTCAACTAATTTATCTGATCCATATACATTATTTTCGCGAAGATTTGATTCTTGGGGTTGGTCAACAGCAAGAACAAGATGGCATTGGTTCAAAAATCAATGGACAAAATATAAAAATTGGGATAGAATTGTAACTCGAAAAGCTAAACAAGATCAATGGATATGTATGTTACCAAAATTAAGTCGAACACGAATGATTGGTTTAAAAGGAATTAATGTGAATGTTTATAATGAATCAGAAAAGAAACAATTTGAAGAAGTTATGTATATGAGTAATAAAGTAATTGAATATAATGGAAAAAAACCGAAAATAGTATCTTTTTGAATATAAAATGTATGAATTATAAATGTTATGAAATGAAGATTTCGTTAACATAGTCTTTTATTCAATGTTGATAATTTCGAGTATTAATCTTCAATTCAAAATATTTTATGAAATATAATCGAAGAGAATTATTTATACAAATACAAATTATTCATCTACTAATGAATCTTCAATAATTTAATTACAACAAATAGAATTTAGTATCTGATAATTACTTACTCTTTATTATATAAGTAATTTTTGAAACTGATTATTATTTAAATAAAAATTTCCATTCTTTACTACTGTGAAATTTCGTTTAACTAAAAGGATTTATCAATATTTAATTCTTGTTCTTCAAATAAATTAGAA